TACATAATAACCGCATCAGGACGTTTATTTCATAGATTGCCTAAATAGCATTTTTCATTCTATAGAATCTCTAGGCATTACATACAATGCCTAGGGGAAATATGTTATAATTCTCACATTTCATACTTTACCTAAAAACATCCAGCATTCTATACAATGCCGGCTTTTCATACTTTGCCGGTAACATACATATATTTAGATCTAACTAACTTTAAAGTAAAAAAAAAAATTAAAAACAAAAGCAAAACAGATAACAATAATAAAAACGAAGACATAACGAAAAATTCAATAAATAACATATTTTATACGAGTTCGAAAAAGACAGTAACCGTCGCAAAAAATCAACGTAAAAGCAAATGTGAACGGTGACGGTAAATCTTTGATATTTAGCCAATACGCGCCAAGGAAGCGAACAAAAAAATCCCCAATATTCTCAGTGCAATTTACCTCTTTCCCTATTTTCACTCTTCCGACGAAACTCTAAGTTTTTAACATTATGGAATCGTCCCTCCCCTAGTCGCTTGTGAATATTTTACTTTCTGTTAGAGTCTCGTAACATTTTGGTGACCTGAGGACGTGATATTAGGAAGTAATCCGAACTTGCGTATGAAGTATTTTTAATAATACGATGAATAAAATTCAAAAACAACGGAAGATTGTTCGTAGCTCTTTTACAAGATTATGCAACCAGATTTTGGAGGAAGTAAAATCAGAAAAAACGGATGAATTATTGGAAGTTAAAGCCAAATTTAAAACACTGAAAGGAAAAAAAATGAGAACTTCAAATTTTAGACAGCGAAATATTAGATCTTATGTTACAATCAGATGATTTATCTGAGGAAGTCATTGAAAATGAAAGTAAGTCAATTGATGATTATAGTGATAATTATTATAAAGTTAAAACTATTATTGATAAGTGTTTTAAAGAGCTCGATAAAGAAAATTTATCAATAAGTAGGGAGCATTCTAATCGTAAATTTAAACTTCCTGAAGTTGAACTTGTCAAATATGACGGTAGTATAAGAGGCTGGTTATCATTTTGGTCAATATTTAAAAAAATAGATGAAGATTTAACTTTAAATCCTGGTGATAAATTTCACTATCTTATACAGTGTACGGTTGATAATTCTCGTGCTGGAGAACTTGTTTTAAGTTATCCGGCAACAGTCGAAAATTATTCAAAAGTGATAGAAAGCTTCAAATCTTGATTTGGCAAAGATAATGTTTTAGTTGAGTTTTACATTAGAGAACTTTTATCTTTAGTCATACAAAACACAAAATCACGAATGGTTTTTTCACTTTCTTCTCTATATGACCAAATAGAATCACAATTAAGGGCTTTGGAATCATTAGGCATAACCACTAAAATGTATGATGAAATTTTATTCCCGTTAGTAAAGTCATGTATTTCTGATGAGCTTCTTCGAGTGTGGCACAGACAGTCGAAAATTGGCGACACTGTGAAAGATAGACTTGATGGTCACGAAAAGGACCTTGGTTGAAAGAGCTGAAAAACTAAAAACTTGAAAATTTGGATAACAGATTACGGTGAATGCCAACTGGAAATTGAATTATTCATTGGAGCTGACATTTGTGGACAACTTTTTACTGGAAACATGAATGAACTGGAATGTGGTTTAACGACTATAGAAACGAAATTTGGCTGGATCATTATGAAGAGAGTTCCAAAGGAAACAGAAAATGGATTTGCAAGTCTCATCATAAATTCACTCCTTTCTCAGACCTGCAGCATAGCAAAACTATGAGATTTTGACATTTTAGGTATAAGAGATCCTATAGAGACAAAGTCGAGAAAAGAGTTAGTGGTAGCAGCATTTGATTATTTTCAGAAAACAGTCACGAAGAAAGAAAATGGGCTTTACGAAGTTCATTTGCCATGGCTGGAAACTAAAGATTATCTCCAGCAAAATAAGTCCATTGCTGAAAGAAGATACATTTCAACTTCAATGAAGCTCAAAGCTTAAGGCCGATACGAAGATTATGATGCAGTTTTTAAGGAATGGGAAGACTCTAAAATAATTGAATTGGTGCCAGAATCTGAAATCGGCGAAGCTTCTCACTACCTACCCCACAGAGGAGTTTTTAAGGAACATTCTACAACTCGTGTCAGGCCAGTATTTGATGCCTCTTCTCATGAAAAAGGTTTTCCTTCGCTGAATGACTGTCTTGAGAAGGGACCTAATCTCTTAGAAGAAATACCGACATTGTTAATGAAATTTCGGATGGACAACATTGGTGTAGTATCAGACATTGAAAAGGCCTTCCTGCAAATTTCTGTTGTTAAGGAAGATCGAGACTTCCTTCGTTTCCTCTTGTGGGAAGATTTTAAAAGGAAAAAATTTAAGATTTTTCGACACAATAGAGTAGTTTTTGGACTCACGCATAGTCCTTTCCTTTTGTCTGCAGTAATAAATGCAATTCCAGAAGCAGGTTCATTAGATATTAAAGACACTGCTGATAGTTTAAAAAAGCCCTTTTATGTTGACAATTGCATAACTTCAGTACCTAGTCAACACAAGCTTGAGAAATTTATTCAGGAATCGACCCAATTGTTACATAGTGCATGTTTTGATCTCAGAGGATGGGAATACTCGCACGACAATTCCAAAGTTGAAAAGCCTACTCATGTGTTGGGATTACACTGGGACAAACAGCAAGATAGCATCTTTTGCGATTTGAACAATATTAAAGAAGTGAAACCTATTCTAACAAGAATATGTGTTTTGTCTACAGTTCACAACATTTTTGATCCTCTTGGTATTTTGTGCCCATTCACTCTACCTCCTAAAATCATAGTACAGCACGTGGACTCTTAAAATAGGATGGAATACTGAATTACCAGAAAATTACCGAAAAGAGTTTGAGACCTGGTATGACGATTTGTCCTTATCGAATGATGTCAAAATTCCAAGATGCTTAGGTATGAGTGATTTAAAAACTGAACTTAGTATTCATGTATTTCGTGATGCCAGTAAACTCGCATACAGCACAGTTATATTCCTTCGAAAGGTCCAAGAAGAAAAAGTATCCCTACATTTTACACAAACCAAAAGTAGAGTAAGATGACTATTCCACGGTTGGAGTTACTTGCCTGTTGCATTGAAGACACATACCCGGTGAGCAGAACCCAGCAGACTTAACTTCCAGAGGTTGTTCCGCTAAAGTCTTCCTAAATTCAAAGTGTTTGGGGGGGGGACCATCAGGGTTAAAATTGAGTGTAAAAGAATGGCCAAAAAATGAATTCAATGAAGAAGAGGAGGATATTTTAAAAGAAAGACGAAAAAGTATTATTTCTTCTTGTAATGATGTAGATGTTCAATGGTACTGCAGACGTTTTTCTAAGTACTCACAAATATTGAGAATGATTGCTTGGATGTACCGATTAATCAATAATACCCGAACAGGCAAAATTCAAAAAGAAAGAGTTCTTTCAGTAAATGAATTAGAATCGGCGGAGAAAAAATTAATGAAGCTTGTGTAACGTGAAGCATTGAAGGAAGAAGATGTAAAAACGCCTTGCACTTTCATTGACAACTACGAAACTCGAAGACTAAAGACAAAAATCACCAAAAGAAATTATACTAATTTTTTGTGCCCGATTGCTCTTCCTTCAAAACAGGAGATTGTGGATAAATTGATACTCGAGAGATACTTGAAGTCTTTACATGCTGGAGTACAATTTGTGTTGGCTGATATCAGACAACATTTTTGGATCTTGAGAGGGAGAAAAATCCTCCAAAGAGTGATCTTGAAATGGGTTCGATGCAGAAGACATGATTCAAGGGGAGTGGAATCTGTGCCAACTACCTTACCAGAAGATAGAATTCGCGATTCTTTGGTATTTGAAGTTTCTGGGGTAGATTTAGCAGGCCTACTTCATTTGAAAGATGGCAAAAAAGCTTGGATTCTCCTGTTTACTTGCGCCGTATATCGAGCCGTGCATCTGGAACTCATTCGAAGCCTGACAGCAAGCTGCTTCATTTTAGGTTTCAGAAGATTCATTGCTCGACGAGGACGGCCCAAAATAATGTATAGTGACAATGGAAGTAATTTCGTTGGAACGGATAAACTGTTGAAATCAATTGATTGGGATAAAATCATTAATGATGCTTCAATATTCAGGATACAGTGGAAATTCAACCCTCCCACTGCAGCATGGTGGGGTGGGCGGTAGGAGAGAATCGTTCAAATGATTAAATGATTACTAAGAAGAGTTTTAGGAAAAGCCTGTCTCATGTATGAAGAAATGTCAACTATTTTGTGCGATGTCGAAGCTGTTATCAACGGCAGGCCTCTTACTTACATTTCAGAAGATTCAAAGGACTTACTCCCACTCACCTCATCAATGTTCATTCAAGATATACGAGACTTCGGTGTACCAGATTTAGACCACATAGATACTGTTAGCATCACAAAAAGATGGAAATATCAACAATCTTGAAGAGACACCTTTCGAAAAAGGTTCAGGGACGAATACCTTAATCTTTTGGTTCAAAACCCACTCAAGAATAAACATCTAATACGAGATTTAAAACCTGGTGATGTTGTTTTGATATGCTACGACAAAAAAAAACCCGAATAGATTGGCCCTGGGGAAAAATCATTTCCACATTCCCAGGAAAAGACTACCATGTTTGAGTGGCAAGAGTAAAAACAGCTAATGGAGAAGTTGACAGACCAGTACAAGGAAATGTATCCATTACAGATATCTCATCATGATCCACTGTTTAAGAAAAAGTCATTTAATGAAGCTTTTGAAAATCAGTCCAACGTTCCAGAAATAACGAAACCAGAAGATGTTGATATGTGTACACTCAAAGACAATAACTTGCCATTAAAAACTAGATGTGGAAGGACATTTGTGAAACCTTTACGTTATAGACAATAATTTTTTTTTATTGATATTATTATTTGTTTGCTTCTTTGAATTTTCATCATTTAGAGATAGATAATTCTAAAAATATTTAAAAATTTGATTTTCTCAAAATCAAAAGGGGGGAGGATGTTAAAAGTTGTTAAATGCTTTTTATGTAAGCTAAAAGCTAACTTTTGATTTCTTTTAAAACTGTCGAGTTGCTATGGCAACCGTTTCTTTTTGTGGAACAAGAAATGAACCTCTAAAAATTATATGTAAATAGAATGTTATTTTTTACTAAAAGTTGGAGTCAGATTTATTATTTAGAGTAGAAGTAGAGAACGACAGAATATTTTACTTTCTGATAGAGTCTCGTAACAATTGTCCAATGTGAAACTAATTTTTCAAGCCGGGGTAGCCAAGTTGATAGGACGTTGGGCTCGTATTCGTGAGAACATGAGTTTGAATCTCACAAGCCGAAGATCTCCCGTGTATTAAATAGTGGCTGGTGCACGCTAAATCTGTAGGGGTCACAAAGTTCTCCAAGTTCCATAGCAAATCTCAGTACCTCTAGGGGTACTGAATTGGAGATTTATCGTTCAGGTCAAAATTATGATCTGTGAATGAATGAATGGATTCTACCAGTAAAACTGGCTGCAAATGTAACTGAAATTGTATTCTTAGTTATAGATGGCGCCAATGAAGAACAAGAAACACACCCCAATGCTTTAAATTCTCTTGGTTTTCCATAGCAAGCTTAATGGTACTGGCAAGTGGCATATTAAACAAGTAATTTTTCTGAGAGAGTTCTGTTTTCATTACGACGCTTCCACTCGCATACTCAAAGTTGAGGTGTTTAAAGCTTCATAGCAACAACAAAAAAAATCACTGAACCAAATTCAACCTAATTTGCAGTAGACAATATTTAGACAATAAGAGTTCGTTTTGTAAAAGGAAAAAATAATTAAGTTTTTCATCCTCAAGGACCAAATTTGTGCCATTTTTCATCCTTCTTTTCGTAAAAGAATTATTTTATAAATAAATTATTAGTTAATCTACGTTACTTTTATATTTAGTTTAATTTTTATGTTATTCATACTTAATTCATGTTGAGCTATTAACTTTAAATTTGCGCAGTGAAAAAGTATGGTCAAAACTATTAGAATATGATAAAATTTACCGTGTTTCCGGCTCTATGGGAAAAGAAAAAGCTCATTAATTTTTCTTGAAGTTCTTTTTTAAGAAAATTAACAATACAATTTTCTCTTATAACATGCGTTGAAATTTTGAAAATGTGGTAAAATTTAGAAATATTATGATACCTTAGAGAGTGGCATAAAAACTATACATTTTGTTAAATTTACTTATAGTTTTGTATTCCAATTGTATGGTAATAAGTACTATAATTTTGAAAAATCACAATTTCTGGTAAACCGTTACCATAAGAATGGAAAAATTACCAAATGAGAAAGATTTAAATACCGTATATTTTGGTCTTATGATCAGAATTAGGTTTTTTATCCAGAAAAGTCATTATAGTGCCGTGATTTTACCAGAATTCTTTTTCCGAGTATCTAAAAAACAAAAATATGTTAATATGTGTAAGGTGTACTGTAATCACCGTCCTTAATCCGTTATATTCTTTGCTAAAATCAATCATAAATATATGCATATTAGGTTGGGATAGTCAATCAGAATTAAAGAGAGAGAAAACTTAAACGTTATCATTCTTTGACGATTCCCTTGTGAAAAAGCAAGATTCAAAACTTGAAAATTCCTTTTATTGAGGCAACAACAGGAGAGAATTTACAAGATTTTGAAAGCGTTGATCAGGAACACCTCTACGTTTCCTCAGGTAATTAAATTGGTTTCGTTTTTATTCCCTTCTTGTGACTCGTCACATTTTCACTACGTTAAATATTTACCAGCTTAAAAATTTATTTTTGACTCTTATTTTATAATTTTGTCTTTCTTTTTGACATGGATTTTAAAAGTATTCATGAAGAACAATGATTTCGGAATTATTTGTATATATTTTGTATATTAAACGTAAATAAAGCATATGTAATAATTAGGTCAATCTTTATCATGTCATATTACATTAAGTCAATCGTTTTTCAAGATCAAATTAAAACTTAGAATGAAAGATTAATTTGTTTTCATTGAAAACGAAAATGTGACAAACCTTATTGATTTTTAACCCCACGATTTAATCTTCAATTCTTAAAGCTATTAAGAACTTAAAATTAAAATCAAACAAGTTCACAGCTAATTGATAATTAGCTCCCCAATGTTTTCAATTTTACCATAATTCCAGTTACATTCCCCAAAGTTTCGGAATTTTGTTTTTCAAGTTATTTGGTTCTAAAATGCAAAATAGTAGACTAATTTTTCCAAAACATTTCATTTAAAATAGTAAGCATTTCCATGTGGAGCAAAAAATTCAGGTTAAAATTATCGTACTGTATGGTAATAATGACATTTATGGTAAAAAAAAAACGAAAGAAAGGAAACATAATTCTAGTTAATAAAACCAAAATATACGATATTTAAATCATTCTTTTGAAAAATTTTCTGTTCATATGGTAACGGTTAACCAGAAAGTTTGGTTTTCTAAAATATAATTCTTATTACCCCACATTTAGTAGTAAAATGCAAAAATGAAAAGTAAATTTAGCCGAATAATGGGTTTTTATACCATGCTGATAAAACTACCAAATTTCACAACATTTATAAAATTTTACCACAGTTACCAAATTTTATCACAAATTATGAAACCATATTTTATCGTCCAAGAATCATTACCAAAGGGCTTCAGTAAAAATTATCAAGGATTTTTACCAGAAACACGATACATTTTATCATATTTTGATAGTTTTGACAGTACTTTTTTGTCAGTGTATGCATAAATGAAATATTCTATTCCATTCATTGGGTGTTCAAATTCTTTTTTTAGAATGATTTTGGAAATTTATTTTTAGAATTTATTTTTAAACACAAATTTGTACATTTAGGGTTTCAAATTAATATTCAAACAAGGAAGAATAGAAAATACTATTAAAATCTGTCGAATCAGTAATGAGTATGGGGGTGTGTGTGTGGAAAAACAATAAAATCGGTATGATTGCATTGAGATTGATAGCATTGGAAGAAGTTCTTAAAATCCCCTTATTTCTTCTTTCAATTTATTTCTGCAATCAAACAAGTTTCAATGAATTCAGTCATACCTTTCTTTTTTGGGATACGTTAAATTAGATAGAGTTTTTTTTCACCGCTTTAATAATTTACGGCCACAGATGTGCATGTTTTTTTACAACCTTTATGAGAAGGATTTTAAAAATATATATTAAGGGTAGTTATTATGAAATGCAATGCATATTTAATTTAAAATTTATAAATCGGCCTTTTTTTATTCTTTATTTTTCATCCCTCGAAAGTGCTTCCATGGGAAAATATTCTAAAAACTCCTTTATTCAATTTACAATTCAGTTTTTCAGTAATAATTTGTTTGTACTATTTTGTCTTATCGATTTCTTCTTGATAAAATTTTGATACTTTCTATTTTTAGAAAGTAAAAGAAATATAAACCGACTGAATTCAATTCCATATTGATTGAAAATTTAAAAAAGCAGAAATACAGTAAGAGAATAAATTTTTATATCCCTGAGAAAAAAACGAAATATTGTATTTGATTACAAATTCTTTGGAGTGAAAAGATGAAACAAAGAATAGCAGTTTCTGTCAGCTAAATTTCTTTTCAAATCATCAACTAGATGTGTTTTTTTCTTTTTGCGTTGTACAGACATAAAGTTGCTCTCGGTACATTTCTTTTCTTTTTTTTTTTTACCTGAAAGTAAATTTTTTCAGCGAATGGTATATGCGAATCTTCAAAAATTTTATATTTTCCAAAAGTTTTGAAAAAAAAGCAGTTCATTTTTCTTCTCAGTTAGATCTTTCGTCACATAGAAAATTCATTTCCTCAAAAGACATTGAATGTGAAATATTCCGGTGTAACATTTGTAAATATTAGTTGTATAATTTATCGGTGGTTTTATATTTATGATTCTTAGTTTAAAACAATTTCATTGTAAGAAAGTTAATTGCTCATGGAAAACTTAAAAGTATTCTTACGGCCAAAGTTTGTTACAAAACCAGTAATTTTTCGTACTTTTTGAATATCTCTTTAGTTTTTGGTATGCTTTATTGTTTTACATAATTCGAATTTATAATTATTACTATAATCATTATTATTACTGTCAAATCTATAATTATTATTACAAGTATTTATTTCGAAATAAATAAGCATTTCACTAACTTTATCATGATTTTTAAATTCTTAAACAAATAAATATTTTTGAATAAAGTTCTTATTAAAATGAAACTTTCATGAAAACTTTTTTAAAAATATTTAAATTATTATTTAAATATTTAAGTTAAATACCTATACTTAAATATTAATTAAAATATAAAATTTTTGATGAAGCTAGATAGTTGTTAGAAAAAAAATAAATGCATTATGGACTTTTTCTCCAATTACAATTTAATAAAATTAGTTTGACGTTGAACCATATACTCAGAAAAAAATA